AGGATGGCCATGAAGGCCCAACCCAAGTCTTGAACAGCCCCAGTCCCCGATGGCCCGAGTGCGGGGCTGGCACTGTGCCCCTGCCCACTGCTGCAGCCCCTGTGGGACAGCAGCCTGCGCCCCAGCCGCTGCTGCCTTCCCTGGGGCGTGCGGGCTCCTCTGCAGCTCCTGTGCCCCCCAGCCAGGGTGGCGCTGGAGCCCCGGCCCAGCTGGGCTGTGGGGCAGGGCGGCCAGTGCTGGGCGCAGGCAGCGCCCGGCCAAGGGGCAGAGCCCCAGCCAACCATTCCCTCTGTACTCTGCTGCTCTCTGCAGGTGGAAAGCGAGAAGGAAAGAGTGGAGGAGTTCATGTGGCAGGCCCTGCCGTACGTGGAGAGCCCGCAGGAGCCCCTGAAAGAGATTGCCCTCAGGTTCATAGGTGAGCCACAAGGTCCCTGCCCACCCCACTGCAGCTCGGCCCCAGCCCTGGCTGCTGCAGCGGCAGCAGATGCGGCCAGGACTGTGCTGGGGAGCCCCGAGTGCCCTGGGGCTGCTGCCACCCTGTGCCAGCCCAGACCTGGGGCGTCCCCAGGCAGGAAGCGCCCGGGCTCAGCCCTGCCAGGGCAGGAGGGTGTGTGGCCAGGCTGGCAGTGCCACTGGGGGGGAGCTGTGACACCGCTGGGGCCCTGACAGCATCTGTGTTCCCAGGGATTGCTGCCAAGTACCTGAGAAAGGGGGAGGAGCAGGATGAGTTCATCTCAGAGGTCATCACTGAGGGTGAGTGCGGGCAGTGGGCTGTCAGTGGGGGCTGGTGGAGGAGCGCAGACCCTGGGCAGGGAGCTGCAATCCTGCTCCAAGTGTGGAGGGCTTTGCTTCCTGCATGTTCAGAGCAGAGAGAGATTTCAGGGACACGGGGGTGTTGGTGGCCAGCACCTTCTGGCTGATCCCATTGGGCCCTGCTCCCTCCTGGCCATGGCAAGAGCTGGGTGGGATGGCCCTGGCAGGAGGAGCTCCTCAGGGCCCTGCAGATGCTGGCTCTGATCTTGGCTCCGTCCTTTTCTCTTCCAGCCCTTCAAGGCATGACTACTGACAGCCCTGCCATCACAAAGCGGGCAGCTGAAACCATGAGAATCATCAGGGATTTCCAGAAATGAAAACCAAAATCAAAACCGAAACCCGCACCAAAATCAAAATCTAAACCCACCAGATTCCGGTAGCCTCCGTTCCTCTCTGTTCCAGCCCTGAGGAACGAGCGAGGACATCAGAGTCAGCATCGCAGGCCTGTCGGTTCCAAACTGTACATGCTAAGAGCTGGACAGACAGCTCCCTGCTCCAGATTGCAGCAGCTCCAAGAGTGGCTCTGGAGAGGAAAATGGCTCTTCTCTGCAAGGACTGCCTTTTACACCAGCGTGGAAATATCAAATACATCTCTACATCTTATCAAAGACAGAGACTCAGGAAGTTTTCTTGAGTGCCTGGTGTCCATAGAGGGGAAGAGGGGAAGAAGGGCCCTTGTGCTCAGCAACACTTGCCCAGGTGTGCAGTGGGGAGGGGAAAGTGCCCCAAAGGCCCTTGGCCTTGGGAGGTTCTGCTGGAGCCTCAAGGCTTCCAGCAGAGCAGATGGGCAGAGCCTGGAGCTGTGGGGATCCCCGAGAAGCTGGTGCTTGAAGGTGGCCACAAGGCCTGTCCCAGCCAGGAAGCAGCACGTGTTACCTGCCCCTGCCAGGATGCCAAAAGCGGGGATGCTGTGGGCACAATTGCACGGGCTTGGGCCAAAGGCTTCAGGAAAAGTGGCCACAAGGGCTTTCTATTGACTGCCCAGCCTCACAGCAGCGCTTGGCAGCTTCAGCCTGTCATCCTGACTGACTTCCATGGCCGTGCCTGAGGGCAGTCTCACCTGCCACACTCAGGCATCCCACAGCGGTGGCACTGCTGCCATCCTTAGAGACTGGGATGGGATATCAGCCTTGGGGTGCAGCTGCTGAACCTCTCCTCCATGCAGGCACCTCAAAAACACATGCATGGGCTTCTGAACTCTAAATCCAGGCCTTTGTGGAAGGGAAGGAAGAAGCAGCAGAAGCTGAAGCAGGGCCTTGTATGGCTCAGCTTCCAGGATGGAGGGAAGTCAGTCCTTTGGGGTCTGCTGTGAAGATGGCCCAGTTTATGAGCAAATGAGAAAACAAAGGCAGAACCCGTGACCATCCTGGCTTAAGAGCGAGTTTTGGGTGTGCTTGGAAGCAAAGGAAGAAGCAGCACACACTGCCTGAGACACAGACACGTGCCCATCCCACCTTAGGGAGCGCTGCCAGGCAGTGCCTGGAGACCATGGCCAGGTCTGGTCCCCACAGTTCAGGAATCGCAGCCCCTGCAGCAGACACAGTCAGAAATCAGACCAAAGGAGGCCAGAGGGAGGGGACCGTTCCAGTCTGTCTTGGACATTGCTGCAGAACAGCCACTGCTTCTTCCTGCACCTGCATCTGGGCTCTGCTGACACCAGAGCCACCCAGGCTGTGCTCTCGTGCCCAGAGGCTGTTCAGAGCAGGCAGGAAAAATGCTCCGTGCACAGA